TTCAACCCCCAGGAAGCTGTTCCTATGATGGGGCAACAGGGATCGCAGAAGACTGTGAGTCATTGGACTTGCACCTTTCCTACAAACAATTAGACATCTTGGGTTGTTTTGATATTTTCCATTTCTTTCTTTAAGTCTTGGCCTTACATTTGTTCTGATTCAGCATAGCCACAAAGCTCCCAACGCTTCATGATTTCATCCCCACCTACTGGTTATGCATGAGGGCCTGGCATGCCGTGGATCCTGCTGCCTTCCACTTTAACATCCCCCCCACCCCGCCACGGCATTTTATTATCCCCAAGCTGCAGATATCTCAGCAGCTCCTGGGAGAGAAACTGCTTTATTCTGGCCAAGGCAGTTCCTGATCTTGTGTAGGATGCCCTTTAATATAGCTTCCAAACTGGTTTCAGGTCTCCAAGTAGCAAAACATTATTAGGCTGCTGTGAACTGATAAACACATCAAGACCCTAAATCCTTTGGGGTGGAAAATCTTAGAAGCAAGCAGAGTTCTTCCACCCAGGGGGCTGTGGGGCCACCATTCCACAGTGGCTGGCAGGTCTGCGCAGCAAGCAGTGATGACCTGCAGCCAGTTGGTCTGCAGCTTCCCTGCCCAGGCAGCCCATAGATGCTATAGGGAATTACCACTGTTCTAAGATTTCATTGCACTTTTAAATTCAGTGCCCCAATTGCCCACTTATATAGGTAGCCTGCATGACCTGAAACTTCCTCAGATAAGAATAATACTGAGAACCGTGAAATAAGCAAAATAACTCTTGGCATTCATGCAAGCTGAATGATCAGATGCTGCCTGCACTACATAAAGCAGGGAGATTTTAGTGAACTGCATAAACACTTTACAAAGGACCAAAAGGCATAGTTTTGAATACTTTTTTGCACTTCTGCCTATTCACAGAATACATCCTATTGAAATGCTTTTCAAGGGATATGTCCTTACCTAGTACCCACTGTGTGCTGCTTATAGATGGGCGCTTCCCAGATACAATATTTAAACTTCTCATCCTATTTGATAGAAGACAAAATTGAAGCTCACCAAGGTTAAGTAACATGTCTAAGATGAAAACTTTCTCTGCTGAGGCCTTGCAGAAATCTACCTAAGCAAATGAGATCAATGAAAGTGTCACATGAAAAATAATTTGGTAACTACTGAAATTGGATGTGGCTAGTGATGCAGAATTTCCTCTGCCAAGTAAGGATTACCAGGAACAGCTTGGCTAACAAACTTGATAGTAAAAAGATATGCTATTTAAAAGATTATACAGGATCAGGGTTTTACTTCAGTGGTGCTGTGCCTGCCTCTAAGCCCAAGGTCCTCAGGTTGATCCCAGTACTGGCGGGAAAAAAAAGATTATACGTTAAATACACTGAATACATGGAAAGAAACCTAAATGGCCAAGGGCCACTAGCCAGGTGGACAGAGCACTGAGTTTGCTAACTTTGACATAATACTATACACAAGAGCAGCCTTGTGACCCTCACAGGCCCGATTAAAGCCTGGTGTGTGGTATGAAAATGTGAAAGCAAGATTTATCACATGGATTCAGACTCATAAGCTCCAAGGTGCCAACCTGCACCACGATTCTTCCTAATGCAAATAAAATTCTATTCATTGTCCTTCCATGCTTCACTGGGGGTATTGGATAAGGAGAGGATTCGATTCTACCCAGCTTCTGAGCATTTTCTGTAGTTAATAACTTGTAAGCTTTAGGATATTTTCCTAGGAAAAGTATATTTTAGCTTGTTTATTCAATTCTTTTTCATTTCACAGAAAGAATACATAATAGCTAGGCAGGGTAGCTCACACTTGTAATATCAGCTACTTGGGAGGCTAAGAGAGCAGGAGGATCAAGAGTTCCAGGCCAACCTGGGGAACCTAGCAAGATCCAGTTCCACAAGATAGGGGAGGCAGAATGGGCTCAGTCCCTAGTATAAGAAAAAGAAACACAAAGGCTATGTAATTATCTACATGAGTGTATTGTCCTGTTTTTTTTTTTTAACCTTGAGATATGACTAGAACATGCCCTCCCTAGATAAAATAAAGTAAGTTATCCTTCTCAATTGTTCTGGAACCTGTCCTTCAGGGATTGGTTGGATACCTAGAGGAACAGAGTGCTTCACTGTCAGGATTTGACAGCAGACAGACTTTAGCAGTTGTCACAGTATTTATACCAGGGAAATGTCCCTCAGAGCCACTTGTTACAGTTGCCTCACACAACACTGCTGGGCCTCATCCTCCTATTCCCCAGGACTCTACAGGACCCAAGCCTGGCAGAGAGTAAACAATGAGACTGCTTCTGCTCTTCCTTAGAGGCTTCTGCTTTATCTGATATTCTGACATGGAAAAGAGAGGTGAGACATTTGAGTGTTAATTAATGGCCTTGGAAATTGACCAGAAGTAGGAAACATCAAGGTGGCTTCAGAGTTTGAAACCACTTAATTCACTGTTATCTGTATCCAGAGGGCTCAAAGAATGAGGTGGACACAGATTCTAGCATCAGACGTGGGAGTCCACCATGGGTAGCCCTGCTGTTCTACTGTGAGCTTGTCCTATGTGGACAGCCACCTAACTGGGAACTTATTTCAAAGTAAACCATCTTGTGCCATGATCAAGGATCCAGAGTCCTCAGGTGACCAAGAGTCAGGCACTCTGCCATGTTTTGGGAATCCTGGAGAGAAGGACTTTTCATGATGAGGGACATGTTCTCTAACTGCCTTGTCTTATGGATGTTGCTACTGAGCACTTGAAATGTGTCCAGTGTGACTGAGGCACTACATTTGCAACTATCATTAATTGTAATTATTTTGAGTTAGAGTTTCGTTTGCCACAATATCAAATGCAGAACCCCTGCCACTTTTACAGATAAGGATGCACTACTTCCTGTGGGCTGAGCTTATTTGTGTGTGTGTAGGGGATGTGCACCTATTATTCTGGATTCAGACATGGGCCTTTAAACGGTTGCCAGACTTCCAACCCCTATCTACAGCATCACTGACGTGCAAGACCAACACTCACACCTCTAGTGGACACTAACCCATATATTGGCCATTGGGCAAGCACATAGGATATCACCCACATAATCCTTACTCCTTGTTATCGGATGGGCAATTAACTCTAACTTACAGGAAAAAAAAAATGAGTCACACGAGTTACAGTCCTTGTCTAAGTCTGAAGATTCACAATTCCCACCCCGACACACCTTACTAAACTAGAAGCCATTTTGTTGGGCCCAGTCTCAGAGGACTCTTATCAAACAATTTTCCATCTTTGTTCTAATAGAAGAAACTACTTACATAATGCGGTTTTCCTTTCAGAGTGTTCATCTGTCACACATATTTATTCAGGCACATACCCATGTCATCTTGCACATTAACATGCACATCTGGTTTTACATCATTTAGTGAATTTTATTTTACACCTGTCTGCATTGGTGTCTCTTTTGCTGTCTAGCTTAAATCACTACTACTTATATCAAAGTGAATGATAGGGTCACTATTTGGGCTTTTAAATTTTTCCATAGGAATGTGTCTGCTAATCAACAAATTCCTGATATAACCGTCTCCTCAGTGTGTTGATTTGGGGTATGTACAGATTCAGATATAAATGACTGAAATGAGATGAAAATGGAGATGTAAGCCCAAGACTGAACAAGGCTTTCTGGAAATTCTTTGGTGTTAAATTACCTACCAAACTCTTGTTAAATTATTTTATGTTTGCCTGGCAATTCTTATTTCTTAATAACAACAACTACAATTTTACTGTGGAAATCAAAGTTGGGCAGTGGTAAGAAATGCTTATTTTGTAGAAAAGCCACCTACACGAAGCTGGAACAACCAGAAGACAGGGGCCAGATCTCCCAGGAACCTAGACACTGGAGCCCATGCCATAGCCTTACCTTTTGTCTTGGAATTACAGGTCTTTGTTTTTTTTTTTTTCCTCCATTGTTTTCAATAAGCAAAAACTTTCTAATTTACCTAGAGCAGTCCTCCTGAGGAATTTTCACTCTGATAATGTATTACTGAGCTTATCTTCTTCATGGTGCCTGCCAGCTCAGCCACCAAAGTAAAGGGTACAGGCCACGTAGGACAGCAGGGCACTGACCCTTCGCTTAAACTCAGGAACACTGTCTGGAGGAAATCCAGTTTCAAGGGGCAATTGAAAGAGAAGGCTTAGCAGTTTGTAGGCTGGTGGGCCACGGTTACTGCTTGGAGAAGCCTGGAACCAAAGCAGCGCGTTGGATGTGTCACCCTAACACAATCACTGCACACAGCTAAGGTGGCTGGCTGGCCAGCCAGGGAGCTCAACGACGCACTCAGTTTCAGCTGTGAAACATAATCAGGTCTAGCCAGCCTTTACCAATGTTAATAGGGCTACGACTATGAACTTGGTATTGTTCTCTCTGCAGCCCAACAGAACATACAGGTCACCCCATCTGAATAGACATCTGTCTTTTCTAATGAGGGGTACTCCTTTGCATTTCAAGAAAAGAGTAAAAAAGATTTTCTATTATATAAAACTGTATGCAGTCTTGAATGTCAGTGTCATTCCAATTATGATAAGCTTTTAAGTCAGTATTTATTTTTCTCAATGCCATTTTTTCTCCTCCATAATATTCCCAACAGGCAAATAGCTCCTTAATTTAAATATTTTAGACTGGCATATGAATTACATATTATCAAGATCATAAACTCTTAGTTTTACTAGATTAAAAGGCTCACCTCACCAGTTCATTCAAAATATGGGTATGGTTTAAATTCAAAGCCAGGCAGGTGCTTGCTGACCAAGTGTACCTTGAAGCTGAGTATGCCATGAAGGAAGAATGGCCTTTCAGCAGTCTCTGACCCCTTGTAACCTGCTGTTTAGACTATAGCCTGTCCACAGAATTGAAAGATTTAGTCTCCTTATGCACTTGGGCTTTGGGGGTTCATAGATGGACCCTTGGTGATGAGTTATAGAATGAGTAAGACACAGTAAGCATACATACCCTTCTCGGTGGGCTTCTCCTTTCTCCAGCTCCTGAATGACCCCCAAGAGCACTTTGATGGTCTCCTGACTTGAACTGATCAAGTTCTCCATCATCTGAAGCTGTGCCTTGAGGTCCACCACTTCTGTGTGAGGCACGATTTGTTGGCATTCTTCACCTGCAGGTGTGGCTGCGGCACTGGGCTGAATCTGCAAGGGCTGTTCCCTACTTTCGGGGGACTGGCACTGCACTGGGGGCGAGCAGGCCAGTGCAGAGCTGGGGGTTGGCTGCGGCCCATTGAGATGTGTGGCTCTCCTGTGCTCCTCATCTGCAGGGCAGAGGGACCACTGGCTGGCCGCGGCCGAGTCTGACAGGCCAGGGTCCAGGGTCCTGGCATTGATGGCAGGCGTGTATACGGTGGCCACCTCTGTTTTAAACACCCTCCCGTGGGCCAGTGTAGCAGGCTCCTCTGAGTCCGGGGTGCCCCCTTCGGACTTTGCTCTCCCCTGAAGCTGGTATACAGCCTCTTCTGAGGGAGGCCGAGAGGAGTTCTGCAGTAGAGCCTCTGGGTGCCTGAGCACATCGGGGTCTTTGCAGGGCTCTGCACAGTTAACCCCAGGGAGCAGGTCCATGGCGTTGATGTGCTCGTTGGAATGGAAAACCAAGGCTGTTGTCTTGTGTATCCGCCCTGCGCCACATGTTCGAACTTCCTCCATGGGTCCTGCCTGACTCTTCTCTTTCACATCTGTTAGGAACCCATTGTTTTGGCTTTTGAAGGGATCTGCAGCTGGGATGCCTTTGAGATTCCCTTTTTTTCGGTCCAGAGGGAATGTCTGATAGCACTTCCTAAGGTCCGGTGAGGTCTGCACACCTGTGCTCTTGGTGACATTGGGGATGGAGCGCCGTGCAGGCACTGTCATGTATTTTCGATAAGCTGCTCTGCAGGACACGGGCTTGGCCTCTCGCTTGTCGCCCAGCTGTCCCGAGGAAAGGTGTGTGTCCCTCTGCTCATTCTGGGCTTCGCAGATATCCTTAAACCGCACTTGCAGGGCTTTGTTACGCTTTTTAATTTGCCGATTGGGATCCAGGGCATATTTCATCTCCAGGGCCAGGCAGGCAGCCGGCTCCACTTCAGTCTCAGGCGTTGTGAGTATGCATTTGCTGGTTTCCTTACTGACCATGGTTCCTGTATTCAGAGACAGCAACAGAGGTGTCAGTGGATCAGAAACATACGAGCAAACACGGGTGGCAAGGACTTCTGGCCAAATTTATGACTGCCGGCTTCCTAATTATTTTTAAGCAGGTGAGGTCGGCCTTTATGTTAAGGAAAATCAGACAGAGTTGCTGGCAGGCACAGCATGAAATGCTTCTCAGATATTAAAGCCTGCTTGTGTTTCCATGTGGGATACATTCCTTTTTCTTTTGATAGTAATGCATGTTTCCCCATTAGACAAACCTGCTTTACTCTATTCATCAAGAAGCCCAATGACGCTGCATCATCTTCTTTGCAAATTATCTTTTCACATGCGTGTCTCTGCTTTGTAGGCAGATGGTTTACCAAGTGCAACTTATTTGGTTTGGGTTTTTACTACTTTTTGCAGATGATGTGATTAATCTATTATTGGAATCAAGAAGTGCTGTTTTAAAGACTTACTGAAGCATCTCGGTGCTGAGCAGATATATGTGGACAGCCTGTGAGGATGGGAAGTGAATATATTTAGGTTAGCCATTTTGGATTCCATGGGAGCTGGCCATGCTCCTGCACTGGAATCTTTCAAGGGTACATTGTGGAGGGTAGGTTTGCTTCTCATGGGTTAACACCAGTTGCAAAGGGAACTTGGGTTTCCCTGAATCTACAAATACAGTGGTAGCAACTCTCTTTTTTGGTTTCATGGGGAGCAGAATTTGAAAATACTTCCAAAAAATTAAAAGAAACTATTTATTCTAGATTCAAGTTTTGTGTTTTGATCAGAGCCTTGGAAAAATGAAAACAATGGTAGTTGTTTCCGTACTTAAATCCTGAAAGAAAATAAAATCATGAGGCTTTATGTTAGTCACACAAATTCATCCTGGGCTGAATTATTAAATGCAGCTAAAAAGATGCAGGTGGCCAATGATTCCTCTCGGGGAATACCAGTGGGGTAAAATGCCTTCATTTTATCAGGCAGATTCACAGCTGCTTATTGTACATGGAAGAACTTTCCTGAGGGCTGAACTTGAAGCCCTCACAGTTAATTGAGAATATTTTTTTGTGAACTGGTCTTTGCTTTACCCCTTGTCTTTGAGAAGGCTATGTGGGACTGGAGAGGTAGCTGTAGGACCCTGGCATGAAGCCTGGTATCCACAGTTGCAAGGTTACAGACACAAGCGGTGAGAGCTATACTGCCCAACCCAGGGTTGTCAGGCCTTGTGTTCTGTCATGGGGAGCCTGAGAACCAACGAGCCTAGAGACTTGGAGTAGCAGTTCTTGAGAAATGCCAGGATTCCAACACTTGAAGGGTGGCTAACATTGATGGGGTGAGAGTATCCATGGGCCAGATGCTCAAGGTAATCTGGAAGGCCCTTCCTCGTAAATGTCCCTGAAGGTCAATACCACACTTCCCATTTCAAGGAGGAAACTCACTCATTCCAGATCACACAGAAGCAAGTAAGGCTAAACCGCCAGACCCCGAATCAGTGCAGCTAGTAGTAGATCCAGGTGTCTAGCAAACAGAAGTCCAACCCCTCCTCAGTTCCTTGGTCTTTACGGAATAAGCACTGCAGGCTGATATATATGGTGGCTTGGTGAAGGGGAAGAAGACAGACCTGTACAGCCCCTGTCTGAGAGTCACTCCCCTCTGCAGCCTGGCACCTCTGGTAACTGACCCCTGCATCTTGGGCCAGCATGGTCAAGCCACCTTGCAGGCTGCCATCAGTGGTTACCAGATGAAGGTTTTAGAGAAAACTCAAGTTCAGTGCGGTGAACTAACTAGTAATCATGTTAAAGGATAACAGAGTAATTTCTGCAGCATTTTAATTTTGACCACAGTTTTTCAGTCACTGCACTACTGATACTTCATTCCAGACCACTGATTTTTGGAGGTGCTCCCCTGTGCAGTGTAGGATGTATAACAGCAGCATGTCTGGCTGCTAGCTATGGGACAGAAGTAACACATCCGCCTCCTCATGACTTCTAGAAAGGTCTCTAGACTTCGCCAAATGACTCCGGGGGCATAACTGCCCTAGCAGAGACCACTGCATTAGCTATTTCAGCCCTAGATGCCTAAGCTTCCAGTTCCCCACATGTCCCGAAAGTCAAAGGTCTTTCGGAAAGCAAAGGAAGGTCTTTGCTGCTTTACTGGGTGCTGTGGATATCTGGAGCCTCTATAACAAGAAACTTCATCGACAGGTCAGTTTTAGGAAGAGAGAGAAGGGAAGGAACAGACCGAAGACGTGTCTGTATCTTGGCTCTGCTCTGAAGAAGTCTAAATTGTATGTGGTGGGTGGGACAAGGCAAGCCTGCTAGGAGAGAGACACTTATCCTTACAGGCTAAAAAGATACCCATAAAAGAATATGGTTTGTGTGTATGTGTGGGAGAGAATATAGGAAACTAGGGGCATAATAAGAAAATTAAATCTTAACCCTCACTCTTATCTGGTATTCATTTTTGAGCTGCTTTTGCTGTCCAGGTGTGTCAGAATGTATTGTGCCATCATTCTGCAGAAGACCTTCATACGAGGGGAAATTTGAAAGGGAGAGCATTTTTACAGAGAGCAATTTACTAGTAATTTTTCAGCCCTTTCCCTGCCACTACTGAAAAATGTGTGTCTGAATAAGTTTGTCCTACCATGCTATTCATCATCACGGTTTTCCAGGAACTGCACTGAAATGATTTTTTTACATTACTCTGCTGGTTTGGGAAGATATCCTGAGTGCTGAACCCAGCCATCAAACTCATAAAACAAATCAGAAGAATTAATTGCTAGTGGAAAAATAATAATAGTAAAAATATTCTAAAGCTCTTCTCTGTCTTACAGAGTTGCTAAGTGTTATACAAATCGTTTCTTTATTAGTAAAAATGATGGTAATACTTAGGACTTTTAATCAGGCTAGTTTGTTGAAAGTAGAAGTAATTGAGTTGTCCCGATTTCACTGATAGGGAAGACACCAAGGGACTCTGCAGTTGATTTATTTTGGCCTCAAATGAGGTTATGCTTCTTTTGATGGCTGAATGGAATTTTCCTGGACATTAGGATTTAGTAAGGTGGACATATATTTGCATGGTGCTCACTTACAGGCTACCGGGAGGATCAGGCTTATAGTAATTACCATTAAGGAAGTGATTTACCCAGGAAGCCGATGGTACAGAAGACTGTCCAGGAGATGAGGGGAACCTTCTCATGCACTGGTTCATCATTCCTTCATGCATCCATTCAGCAAACGAAAGTATGTATGTTACAGTGTTGAATTAACATTCTCCAGGTATGTGGTGTAATTCTGTGTCCTAACTGGATGCCAGTATTCCTGTGTACTTCACTTTCTCATCTGACCGTTACAATACCCTCACAGAGGAAAGATTATTGTTATCCCCATATTGTAGGCTGAGATACTGAGGCACAAGGTTTTCTTTTGTAACTTGATTGGAGTCACAGGGCTAATGTGCTACATACACAGTAATGAACACGAAGCCCATGCAAGAACATCTGCCACCTGAAATGATCCATGCTTAACTTTTAAGAAGCATCACAGTGCCGACACTTATCCAAGTCATTTTCTCGCCTGTTCCTGTGATATTTCTGGGCCTGACTCATTCAAGGACTTCCAGGTGGTCCCTGAACATATCTGGACCTGGAGCACAGACAAAGAGGGTTACCTTGAGATTTGGAGTGAGCATGAAACCCAAGTGGCATCTGTGACTATAGGTTATTTTGTCTCAGTCACCCCTATTTCTATGGGTTCTGGTCATCGTGGTTAGTCTCATGGTTCTAAAGCAGCAGAATTTCATGAAGTTTTATTTGTTCCATAAAAAAAACATGGTTTAGAATTCCCTGGACAATGCAGTCTCGAGGTGAAAGTGGCTCGTCATGGTTGCGCCTTTCTGGCTCAGGGAGAAGTAGATATTGAGGAGCTGTTTGGAATATAAATGTCTTAATTACTCTCAAATTAAATTTTATAATCAAATGTGAGTTGTAAACATATAAGCCCTGTATTTTTAGATTAGTGATGTAGAGTTGTCTCTCTATGCTGCTTTAAATTAATAGCATATATGAAAATGTTCATCTCAACTTGAAGTAGTAAAAAATGGAAGCAACTGAATGCCTAACAACAGGTAAACATTAAGTGAGTTATGGTGTGCATTCACTCAGTATAGCCATTAAAATTATAATTGTAAAGATTATTTAGTATCATAGAAAAATGCTTATGAACTAATGTTAAGTGAAAGAAAACAATCTTCCAGGTTTTACTGGAAAAATGATGAACAAATGTGGTCACTATTTTGGGATTAAGATAGTGTATCTGGGGAGATATTTGTCCATGGTTTCCAATTTTGGGGGGTGAGGTGGAAGGAGGCACAATATTATCTGCTATCACCAATTTAAAATGCATGAAGCAAAGTTAACCTGCATTTTAAGCCGACTTCTGCAAAGTGTGTGAGGACTGGTATCCAGGTTAGATAAACTTAGAAATGATTAATTTGTGTACAAACAATCACCAGAGGTCATCATTATATATATAGTGCATATGCCATTATAGTTTTACCTGTGTACTTAGCTATGCAGACATGTTTAGATAGACTGAGAGCATGTGTTTAATAGAAGATTTGTTAATATTTAAAAAAACTTACAGGAAGTTCCCATTGGCTTTAATTAGGATTAAAACAGACTTGACCTATAATCTGCATTTCTAGCCTACAGTTTTTGGGATTTCATCGGCTGATGAGAGAGACTCTTCCTTGCATTCTATCCATTCTTAAAATATCTGCACTAATTTCTAGGATCCCAGTCAGGGCTCATGATATGTATGTGATGATGCAATCCACTGCCAGGTGGGACTGGTAGAGAGGTAGGCTCCTCAAAACACTTTTACACCTTCAATGGGCATAGCTCAGAAGCTAGGTCAGCAATGTGATGAGCGTGGAAAGGGACTGTATGTAGTTACTACTTTTTCTTTCTCACTGCTGAGACACCTTGGAGTCAAAATTGCTG